AAAAAAAAAAAAAAAAAAAGAAGAAGACAAAAGTGCCTGTTTCGAACAGGCACCATGTGTTTAATGGGGGCCACTGTTATTATTGCCGTTTTGAGTTACGGTCGGGACGGACCTGCGGACGACTGTTTTTTTTGCCCATTCAAAACGTGGGTTGTGACCCACGAGCCGTTGCCCCAAAAAAAAAAGATATCTCTTTACTTTTTTTTTTTTTTTTTTTCTGAGTTAGATGGATGAACTGAAAACCCAATATGCATTTTCATTGACAGAGAGGGAGGGAGGGAGGGAGGGACTCGCCTGCAGGAACGTGTGCGGTGCAGCACCTATTAGATCAAGGCTTACCGTCTTCACGCGAATAGAGTGCCTGGTCATTATAACTGTATTTGGGCCACCTTTCAGTCCAGATGCAACGATAATGATCGGGCGTTCGATTCGAGTGAAGTCGGTAGCCGCTCATAAGGGAATAGTACTACTGTAATAATTGCCCTTAGCGATGGAAAGATCTGAATTGGGATCCTTTCCTTAGAGGCAAACTCCAATTAACACCCAGTATGGACAAAAAAACCCACATTAGTGACATTACATGTTTGATTGGAAAAAAAAAAAAAAAAAAAAGTGACCAACGGGGTTAGCTCAGTGGGTACACCCCACCCATGAGCTGTTGAAATGCAGACCTGAGTTGGGATCCAGATGGAACCAGATGAACAGCATTCCGTTTTTTTTTTTTTTTTTTTTTTAACAACATTTCTGAATTACCTGCTGGAGCCGGTCAGTTTCACGATGACATTGACATTACCCATATGTCGAAGAAATGGGAGTATCTTTCCTGCGCCACAATATCTTTCCAACTATCAGGGGGGCACTATCTTTTTTTTTTTTTGCTTTTTTTTTCTTTTTTTAATCGGAATAGCTGAACAGCTGGCCACTATCACTGGCAAGTCCTCTAAATGGATTAATATTACATGAAAAAAAATAAAATCAAAATCAAATTGGCAACGATGAGTAGACAGAGAGAATTACCATCAGATAATAATAGAATAGCATAGAATAAAATAGAAAATAAAATAAAAAAATAGAAGAGATCCATCCTAGACTTTCGACCCCACAAAAAAGTACACTTACATGTAATTACTGAATGTATGGAGTCCGCAAAGTGGGAAAGGGGAGAGACTGGCAACATCACGACTAGAACAGCGGACGCTTAGCTTCTCTCTCCCACGAAGGAGGGGGAGCAGCTCTTTTTCACTACCGGTAGACTAAGTAAGATAAGAATTTGATTGTCGCTGCCTTTGCGGGGCCAAGGTCCCACTTGCACGGATTACGAGATTCTGACCGTTGATCTTTGCTATCTACAGTCAATATCTCTTAATTCGTGTAAGTGGGACCTAGCCCCGGGTACCGCGAAATACACCAAAAGGGTTCGAGCCCAAGGTTTGCTCAAAGTAAATGCCTTACAGTCATTAATTAACCGTCGGTAAATTTTTTTTTTTTTTTCGTTCGTTGACAGCCTGTTCATTTGACTTTTTTTTTTTTTTTTTTTTAGTAAGTTTCTAGAGAAATTGAAGGCCCCTCTGCTACGTCAATCCTAAAGCTGCTGTGGCTGTCGT